TATTTTTGCATCGATGTTCATCAGGGATATTGGTCTGTAATTTTCTTTCTTAGTTGTGTCTTTGTGTGGCTTGGGTACCAAGGTGATTTTGGCCTTGTTAAAAAGAGTTTGGTAATGAGTCTTCTCTTTTTATTGTGTGGAACAATTTGAGGAGTATTGGTATTAGCTCGTCCTTGGATTTCTGGTAGAATTCTGCACTGAAGCCATCTGGCCCTGGGTATTTTTTGGTTGGAAGGCTTTCGATGACTGCTTCTATTTCGTTGGGGGTTATAGGTCTATTTGTTTGTCTGTTCTTGATTTAATTTTGGTAAGTGATAGTTATCCAGAAATTTGTCCATTTCCTTTGAAATTTCAAATTTTGTGGAGTACAGGTTTTCAAAGTATGACCTGAAAGTTGTCTGGATTTCCTCTGTGTCCGTTATTATGTCCCCCTTTTCGATTCTGATTTTGTTAATTTGCATGTCCTCTCTCTGCTTTTTCGTTAGTGTGAATAAAGATTTGTCTATCTTGATTTCTTCGAACAACCAAGTCTTTGTTGCATTGATTTTTTTGTATTGTTTTCCTGGTTTCTATTTTATTGATTTCAGCCCTCAAATTGGTTATTTCCTGGCGTCTACTCCTCTGGGGTAAGTTTGCTTCTTTTTGTTCTAAGGCTTTCAGTTGTCCTGTTAATTCTCTAATGTGACTATCCTCTGTTTTCTTCATATGGGCACTTAGTGCAATGAACTTCCCTCGGTGACACTGCTTTCAAGGTGTCCCATAAGTTTGGGTATGTTGTGTCCTCATTCTCGTTGAATTTTAGGAAGTCCTTAATTTATTTCTTTATTTCTTCTTTGACCCAGGTATGGTGCAATTGTGCATTGTTCAGTTTCCATGAGTTTGTAGGGTTTCTGTGATTTGTGTTGTTGTTGAATTCGTATTTTAAAGCATGGTGGTCTGATAAGATACAGGGGACTATTCCATTTTTTTGTATCTGTTGAGGTTTGTTATGCCGCCTAGTGTGTGGTCGATTTTAGAGGTTCCATGTGGCACAACGATTTCTTAAAATTCAAACATTCTATAAAGCAGCAATTCCAATTCTAGTTTTGTATACAAGAAAATTAAAATATTTGCTCCTCCTTCATGGTTGGCTCATTTGTAACAGCTTAAAGCTGGAAACAAAGCCAGGCATTTGGTGTCAGGACACCACCAAGTGTGGAAACTATGACAGTCATACAATCAAATACATATAAGCAATACAAAGGTTTATGGATTAACACACATAACATGGATCAATCTCAAAATCATGCTGAACGTGAGAAGCCAAAATAGAGGTATGTTCTGAATGACTCCATTTATATGAAATTCTAAAACAACCTTCAGTGATAGCAGCCAAGCCTGTGCTGTTTTCTGCTGGCCTACAGGGAAGACGACTAACAGATCAACATAAGGTCAGCTGGATTGGTACAACTAACCCATGTAATTTTAAAATCCAGATACAGTTTTCAAATAGATAATGCTAATTTGAACATTAAGATTGAAAATGAGCCATTAGCTCATGAGAATAGAGCACCAGAGTTCTAGCAGGGCAATATTTTAATTTATATTCTAACACATACTTTTGACATCTTTTAATAAAATACTAATTGCTTAGCCTCTACTTAAGAGCAAATATTATTCCATTACCTTCCCCTTTGGTACAGAGACAATGCTCTGGGGTCAGACATGTCTCCCCTATCCTTCCTTACCTAGTGATGAATGATAAGAGTGACCCAGAATAAGAATCTATAATTTGTGTCCCAAGTTCACAGAATATAAAGCCATGAGCTAGCTGCAATCCTACACAAAGCTGTACACAAGGTCTGACCTCAGAGGATGCATATCCCTCAGCAGCATGCCTTCAAGTTCATATCCCACCAAGCTCGCCTGTGCAGAAAGCCTCACTTGCTTCCATGTAGGAATGTGCTTCCTATCCGTGACTCATTGTCATTGCCAGTCATCTAGCTAATTGAGGCATCAAACTATTCTCTCCTTTGTCTCTAGGATTCTAGGTTTACTAAACCACTCACACCCCACCCCCAATTTCCTTACAGTTCAGAGACTTCTAAGGAAGACTTTTCTTCACTAATGTAAAGGTGCTCTGGCCTGAGGGGTCACTCGACGGCGTCCCTGGGGGAGGGAGTGAGAATGAGGGGACAAGAGACGCAAGAGATGGAGACAAGACAGTATTCTGATCAATATAGTTTAATGAATATAACCACAGGGTTTAAGTAGTGGAGAAATGATGGAATGGGCCAAAGGGAGGATGTGAGGGAGGCAGAATGTCCTTACAAGCAGGATGCAGGCGTTCTGCTATAAGATAAATTGCTATACGATAAGCCTGCAGTTGGGACTCTTTCAGGGTCAGGCTGCATCATATATTTAACAGAACAGTCATAGGAGAATGGAAAATTACCAGTACGTAATATCGAATAGAGTAGTAGGAAAGATGGCTGTTAAGATGCTAACTTTGCTCTTGGGTTCCCCACAGAAAAGGAAACGGATACTGACAACACTACTATTTCCAACATGGATGAGACTTTTGGGGCTATATGAGCTGGACTGAAACCAGGAGACAAAGCCAGGTAAGCTCAAACTGTGGAAGGCCGAGAAGGCTGGGTTCCTGACAGTCTGGATAAGATACTGTACCATATTTGGACAGTTTATTTCCAGAATTGTTCTAATTCATAGGGGTGCTAGTTAGGAGCATTCCAGAGTATAGCAGGGTTTCAGGGAGAACCTAGATACCTAGAAAAGATTGTCCTCGAAGCATACAGGAAAGTACAAAAAGCAAGTGGCTAACCCAAAGGTCAATTCTGTTCTAAGACAGGTCCTATGTGTAATTCCAACTCAAAGGGTTAGATGAAAACAAAGAGGTCTAATATAGACAGAATTATTTTTTCATGATTTAACTTGTTAAATTAAATAACTGTTTCTCATGCATGTGTGTGTACACATACGTGTGTGATCATGAAACATTAAGAGGAATAAAAATCTAAAGTATTCAAATTAAAAATAATGGCTTTTGAGGATTAAATATGTGGGGGGGATAAAGTAAAAAAATATAAAGGCAAATATGTGATGGGAGATGTCATTCTGTAAATATGTTTCTCATACTGGTTAATGAATAAAGCACTGTTGGCCAATAGGAAAGGAAGATAGGAGGGACTAGGAGACAAGGAGGAAAGAGGGAGGAGTAAGGAGGAGTCAAGATGGAGAGTCTGGAGAGAACAGGATGCCAGCTGGCTCTCCGGTAAGAGCCCGTGGAAATATTAGATTAACAGAAAAGGGTTAATACTTAAGACAGAGCTAGCCGATAAGAAACAAGTACCTGGCCAACAGCATTATATCAAATACAGAGTCTCGGTGTACTAATTGGGGCTGGTGCGGCGGCGGGACAAGACCGGCAGTGGGAGGAAAAACCATACTCCTTACAAATATGTATCAAAGAGTGTACTCGTGGGTGAACAATGCTGTTCCCAGAAGGCATGGGTCATTAAATGCAAATCTCAGTACTAGTACAGGACAACCTCTACAAGATATTTGTCAGGGAGGTAACACAGGTCCCCCCCCACAAAAACACAGGCTATTCTATGCCATTGTTTGCACACCATAACTAGATGGTGAGGCCATATTGCTAAAGACTAGTGTTTAAGTGTGAGTTGTCAGCTGCAAAATCGTCTGTTATCAGCCATACCACTCCATCCAAAGCTCAGGGAGCATCACAGGAGAGGGACAGCAAGAATATTAAGTGGGAAGGAAAGCAGTGAAAATGTCCACTTCTAGATATTACACACATCAGCTCACAGTGGCTAGACAGAATTCCAGCAGGGACAGGGAAGAGGCCCTGAGGCCCCACCCTTGGGGGAGAAGTTGCTGCTCCTGGGGAAAGGAGACTAACTCTCCTTTGGGGATGGTAAGTTGTCCATGCCCCAGTAGAGAGCCTCACACTTGTGTGCATATAGGCAGCTTTAATTGACTCAGGTTAATAACAACAATAAAATAAACACAAAGCAGGGAGGAAGACAGGATAAAAGGCACTAGGGAGAATTGGAGGGAAATAGTGGTGGATGGGTAAGATCAAAATACATTGTATAAATGTATAGAAACTGCCGAGAGAGAGAGAGAGAGAGAGAAAGAGAGAGACAGAGAGAGAGAGAGAGAGAGAGAGAGAGAGAGAACAAATACATATATACTGCATTCATGGAGTTGGAGAGTTCACTAAGGGGGTGAAGCATCTGCCATACAAACATGAAGAATGGGGTTCAGATTCCCAGCACTCACATAGTTGCCAGGTAACATGCTGGCTCACTTGTAATGTCAGTGTGTGGAGATGAAGACCAAAGGACCCCATGGGCAATCTGGCTGGCTGGACTAGCTGAACTGGTGAGGTTCAAGCTCAGCGTCAGTATCTATGGTGAAAAGCAATCAAGAAAGACATCCGACTTCAGCCCTTGGGCCTTCACAGAAAAGTGAACAAGTGCACTTGTACCTGTACACACATGCAAGCTCAAACACACAAGAACACTCCTACACATACACCATACACACATGGGGGTGTAGACCACATTTACAGAGCAAGCAGGTGACTTAAATTTTCAGTGAGGGGTAGCACCAAAATGGTTTTACCTCAGTCAAAGACTGGATTTAAGTAACAAGTTGTAAAATGTACAAAACAAGTAGAAGAAATTCACAAAAAAAAAAAATAAAACAAATACAGACCTCAAATAAATTCATCAGCACTAGAAGAAAATAATTTTACTTTTTGCTACAACTTAGAAGCCCAGGAGAAAGCTGCACAGGGAGATTTCTAGAACACGGCTCTCAACTGCAGAGTAAGGGAAGGGGAGGTCTGGGGACTCAGGATAGCTACAGTGAGAAGCTGTCCCCTTACCCCAGCTCACTGAGGTTGGGAATTCCCCTCATAGTATGGCAGATATCACTGAAATAAACTGGAAACAGAAGCCAACACTGAGAACCAGTCAGTTCATGAAAGAAAATCCATTCTGGGTGATTTAGGGCAAGGAAAATTGTGAACAATTTTTGTATTTCTTTTTCTAACATCATTAAATTAATAGACTGCATTTAGACATTTGAACATTATGGTTGATATCCTTATTTATTAGATGTACATGATAATTTTTGATAATTTCACACTTAAAAACTGCATGAAAATTTTTATTAAACATATAGCCACTTTTACTTGCATAAGAAAATAAACATTCTTATGCCCATCTCCTGTTCTTTTGTTGAAACAGGGTTCTCTACACAGCTCAGGCTGATGTGGAACTCGTTATTTACTAAAGAACCTCCTGCCTCAAGTTTCTGAATAAGTAGACACCACAGCCCCAGACTTTGTTTTCCAATACATTCAGTTTGGAGTGATGAATAGCAGAAAACAAAGTACCACATGTTTCTGAAAGCCAGAAAAAATTTTATTCTAAGTCATACATAAAGCTATTTAGTTCTTCTGCAAAGTTGATCCACATTTAAGAAGCAGTAAACAGTAACAAAAATAAAACCCTCAACAGCAATGACAAGGGTAACAATATATTACTAAAAAGTTTAACAAGGTTAATCAAATATAAAACTTAAATTTTCCTACAGTCAAAGTTTTATTCACAGGGAATTCACAGGTTAGATGCTATTTTGAAAAACCTATTTGAAAAGGTAAAATATTAAAATAATTTTCTTTTCCTTGTTTCCATTAATACAGGAAATCTTTGTAGGTTTCATCTGAAGAAAAAGTCACAACTTGAAAAGAGGATCCACGAAGAGGGAAGAGAAGGTGGGAATAAGTCACTGAGGACACTCTCTGATTTAACGTCTCCTATGACATGTGGGTAGAAAGCGCGAACCAGCCTTCTTCATTCTGCCTTTCAGTCTGTTGAACAGAGACACAGAAAGGAGCTAGACACGAGCCCACTAGAGAGAGGTTCATAGACATTTAGAACAGGTACATTCAACAAAGTCACCATGTGTATTAAGTGGCACTAGAATGTTACTTCCCCTGGCAGGACCTCACCCAGGTGCTTAGCAGGTATCCTAGAAAGAACCCTACCTTTCAAAGGGAGAAATCCAACATTTATTCAAACCATAGGTACAGTTTTAAACATGATGAAAGTTATTAGAGCCAAAACTATATCAAAAGACAACTTTAAGCTTTTCAGAATTTAAGAATCAGAAAGGAACAAACTTAATTCTAGGCAACTGGGGTAGCTAACTAAGGCAATTAGTTCATTTGGGCTGTGTGTCTCCAGTCCATGACCTAATGACTTCCCCATATCTGTTCCTGGCTTACCTCTGGAAAACAACTTTTACAATTCTAAAGATACTCTTACAATTTTCTATGATAAACACAGACAGAAATTGTATTTTTCTGTAATATCAACATACATAAAAATGCATCCTATGAAAAATCTGAACAAACCGTGAATGTTTAGCTTCCAGACAGTTCTGGAGCAAACCAGAACATATGAAAATGTCCAAGGCATTCACTTACCCTCTGTGTTATCACCTGTCTAACAGAGGCACCATCAGACCTGGTACACTGGGATAAAAGTACCAGACCCAGGTCTCTGGCAATCCCAAATTCTACCCAGTCATCACCAAAAGCAGGACCAATACCTCATATCTACCTATAAGCCATCAAGACCACAGCTCCTGGGAAGCAGGCCTGAAGCCAGTACTTCCTAGTCTTGAAGACACTTGAAATCCTACCAAATTTTAACTTATTACTTAGTAACCCTAAAAGACAAAATAAATGTATTTTTTTTTCAAACTGAGATAAAAATATAGTATTTCTTTTCTTTGTAAAATTGTACACCATGTTAAAGACAACAAGAATAGTATCTAAGAATGGAAGTTAGTCCCCCTCCACCCTCACACTTGTGACCCTACATAGTGACATTTTATAACGTACCTTTGTTCTTGGATTAACAGGTGTGAATCGCCCACTTCCGGAGGTGGCATTTAGTGGAGAACAAGAATTACTAGCAGCCCCTGAAGATCTATCCATGAGAAATGAACAGTCAGCGAGTGAGGTATTACCACTAGCCATCAACAACTATGGGAACAGCTCTCAATGCTGGCAAGAGCTTGAAAAGGTTTGGTGAGAGGTCCAAATGAGATAAATCACTTCACCAACAAAAACCTAAAACTAGTAGTTTACCACGTAGAGTAGTTTAGCTTTAAAGACACAGTGGACAATACAGTGTTCCGGGTGCCCTCACCTCCGACTCTAACACAGTTTCTCCTATTACTAACATCTTGATGGGACACATAGTTGACCACACAATGCTGACTCACTATTAAATGAAGTACAGTTTCCTTAGGGCTTCTCTTTGTGTGACAGATGCATTCTGTGGATTTTGACAGATAACTGTAAGTGACTTCCAGATATCATTCGGGTAAAGGCCGGGCAGTAGTGGGGAAGGTGCTCAGGGTAGCCTTGGTGTGATGAGAACTGGCACAATGTGGTACAATACAAGGACACAAAAGCTGGGGAACGAACCCCTTCCTGACCCACTCACCACTCAGATGGCTCACCTAGGCCAATCAGCTTTGTGTTCCCTGACTGCGATGCGTGAAGTGCTACTAGTCAAGGTACCTACGCTGGAATACAGCATCTCCATCTCCTGATTCTGTAGCCATAAACACATAAAGATTAGCCCACTTCTATTTTGAGCAGGCAACCCTACTTGGCTAAGCTTAATCACCTTCTTCTTCCCCAGTTACTTTCTCTGTGTGAGTGAATCTGTCTGAACTTAAGTTAACAGATGCTGAGCACAGAGAGAATGCACAGGCACTCTTGCTGCTTTAGTAACAGTCACCCTACCTTCTTGAACTGTTCCCGCTGACAGGAGAGACAGTACTGCCTTTCGAACTCTCTGGAGCCTCCACTCCTGGGACAGACACCTCGATGGTTCGCTTTCCTTCTTCTAAAATACAAAAATAAATGTCAGTTTCATTGATTTTCACTAATGGAAGTAACAATTTTGCCCAATTTCAATATCATCATAAATTACACAATACAAACTTAGGTGTTTTATATTTTTTCCATGATGGTTCATAGAAACACTTAAGAGATTATTATTAAAAATAAACTGTTAAGACAAGAAACTGCAGCTGTTTTTGTCAATTTGGCGGCATGCTAGTTCATAGAACATCAGAACTTTCTGACAAGTACTATTACACAGAGCAAGTGAGAAACAGTGAGCCCCAAGGTATACTGGGGAGCAGGAAGGTGGGTGGAAGGAAGGGATGAATGGGGGTAAACTTGATTAAGATGCATGCTTTTATGAATTTTCAAAGAATTTTTAAAAAGTTAAAAAACTAAAAAGAGCTAGCCCAAAAAATTGATTTTTTTTCAATTTGATTAAATAGGATTTCATTTCCCCTTATAGCCATGAAATCTCTATATTTTAAGAAGGATTTACAGGATCCCCTATGAGTATGGTGGACATAAAGTATTTCACTAGGAAATGTTTGCCTACTTATGAAACCCTAAGATTTCACTGAGAATAGACTTCGCTTCGGCCATAGGAGAATCCACGCCTGGAACTATAAATCTGATGAAAGCCCCATGGCTGGGAAGGTCACAAGCAATGGGTAGAAAGGCTTCCTACTGTTGTCTGGCTGAATTGTTAAGTCAAGCCGCCTTCTAGATACCTGTATTTACAGCCGCAGCGCAATGCCACTCTCACCTAATGCAGAGCAGCTTGGCCCTGCAGTGGGCAGTGGGGAACCCAGACTCTTGGCCAGTCACAGTGCTGAGAATACGAGATGGCGGAACACTCAGCTCTCAACAGGACAGTTACACCCTCCTCTAAGGCCCAGGAACATCACAGGAAGGGGGCGCAATAAATGCATAGCAGGAGGATGGGAAGGAGGTTGCCTGCCCTGGGCCTGCACAAGGGTGGGCTTGTCAATGTTCTGTCATGGAGTGGGAAGGGGCTTGTGCAGCCGTACTCATCTGTTGAACTATTGGCTAATGTTGGGGGGGGGGAGTCACTATCTTTAGTTATGAACACTATCCCAGGCCCTGTGGGACAGTACCATATCCATGGCCATTCAGACCACCCTTAAAATTGGTAGGTCACATAACAAAACTTATGTGTATGGGAAAGGGACCTGTAGGCAGGGGGCTGATGGGTGTGACAGAAAAAAGAGGAGGGTGAGATGAACCTCCACTATTACACACATCTATGAAATTGTCAAAGAACAAAGCCAATTAATTTTTTAAGTACTCAGTTATCCTATAAAAAAGGGGTTTTTTTCATGACATATTGTTTATTCTTATTTTTATTATACCTCACAGAGGTTCCTATAAAACCAAAGTTCTACTTTGGGTGTGTTGAATATTAGATAAAATAACAGAAATATCCAAGCATCTGCTCTCTCGTTTGTAATTTTAAAATCTAAATCCCAACGTAATGAAAACTCTTCCTGGTGTCCTTTGGTATCCCACTTCATCCAACCACACAGGACATGTGGATCCCTGTAAGCGCGAAGGCTTGAGCATCTCAGGGACACCACTAATAATCTTTCAGTCCCTAATAATCCAGGCCTCAGATGGGGCTCCGATCAATACCCCCCACCCCCCACCCCCCACCCCCCACCCGCGGATGTAGCACCATCCTTGAGGGCATAAGTTCATTTCCGGCTAACAGCCGGCTTAGAGCTACTTCGTTTAATCAGCACTCCTTGAACAGGACTACTACTGAACAAATTCTTCAGTCACATTTCAATTATTTAAGAGGCCTCTCCAGTTTTTCATACTCTTAAACATAATGGAAAAAAAATAAATTGAGGGGAAATGCTTTCCTGGTTTTAAGAGACTAATAATTTGTAATCTGATGCTGATAAAACGTATAGTCTAAATTTGTCCCTTACACCTGTGGCAGCATATATCCTAAGTGAGACATACACAGTACTGAGTATTTCTCTTGGATGGGGTTGCCCTGGATGCCAAAGACTGGCTACAGAACAAGAGACAGCTTTCCCCACTATTCCTGTCACTTATTCTGACCCAAGCCAGTTTCCTCTGGTACAGAACTGGGGCACTAGAACACAGTGTGTGCTGAGGTTCTTTTCATTCACTATGAGCTTTCAGAGCTGAGAGAGTGAAAGTATTTCTGAGTTGTGACCCTGTGACCCACCGGTCCATGCTCTGAGAGGGGACGGAACAGGAGACACTGGTGAAGAGGAAAGGTTCAAACCAACAAGTTTCTGCTGCTCTATCAGCTGCAGCAGTTTGCTGCGGGCCTCCATGCTCTGTCGGTTCAACTCTGCAATCCGTTCCTCCATGCTACTTGGCGCTGGAGATTGAACTCCTGGAAAAGTCTTCAGGGGAAAAAAGGCATGAATTCATTACTTAAAAGAAAGACAGAATGCCCAATTCTGATTTTTTAGTCTAAGTACAGTAACTTGGTATTTATAAGCCTTGCTATATACACACATGAATGATGGGGTAAAATGGCTTGCAAACCACTAATTGAAGAATTAGGACTAAAATGAAGGCATAAACAAATTCTCCTGCTGCTACTGCCACATGCACACAGTCTAATAGGACAGTGCTTTCCTGCATCTCACCGCTTGCCTCACGCGAGGAAAGACACCTGCCAGTGAGCCTAATGAATCTGAAAAGGATGTTTTATAAGTTCAGTCTTCAAACAAACTTCATGAATGATCTGGGAGAGACTATGAACATCCTTCTGCCAATGTGTCAGGCCCTTCAGGCCGCTTTTATAAAGCTTCAGAAATCTGATTTAAGAATATCCGTGATTAGAAAGGAGCTAAGATAGCAGAGAGTAAAGTCAAACAATACAAATCAGAAAACTACTCCAGGGATATAAAGTAAGTTTAGTGTGAAAGCCCCCAAGAGCAATGTACTTTCATCATTCATAAGAATTTCATTTAGCTAAATACATCCCTTTGTGAGAGAAAACAATTTTGAAACTAATACATATTAGATTGTGGGGGATTTTCATTTGTTTTCTAGAAAAAAGGTAAGTAAACCAGTAAAGATTAAAATCTATTTTGTATTTCCACCATGCTTGGCACTACAGTTACACAGGGAAGGAAAAAAAATCCTGCTCTATAATATGCAAGAATGACGCTCCTCAGAATGTGACCAGATTGACAGTCCTAACATCAGTGAGGGACATATTAGAAAGGCCCAAGTCCCACCCCATACCTACTGAGGAACCACATTTTAGCAAGGTCCTCAGATGGTTCATATGCATATTAAAGTTTAACCAATTCTTTAAATATAATTTCTATAGGAAAACCCACTCCTTAAAAAGTTATTAATGACTTAAGAGCCAATTACTTTTTAATAGACCACATTAGATTACTTTTAATTAAAATCTAGTTGTACAACAAGCATTCTATGTCCTCCTAATTCCATATTATTCATTTCTGGCTAATCCTTAGCTCTCATACACATTTTACCTAATTCTATTTTCTGTATTCACACGCTTTGTTTTGTTTTCAATTTGTCTTATTGTAGTGCAATACAAACAGATTTGTTTTACCTATCATGTAAGGAAGACATGTCAAAGCTATAGTCACTTCTGAAACAAAATCTCTTTGGATGCCTACTACGGCTTGAATATGAAATACACCACCAATGCACATACCTGGGGTTTGCTTGCTAGCTGGTGGGTGGGCTTTGGGAAGTGAATGGCTCCTGAGGGCTTTAATGAATGGATTGAGCCACTCAAAGATCCATTACACAGCAGCATTAAGGGGATGAAGAAGAGGTAGGCCTTAGCTAGAACACATCTTAACCTGGGACACATCTTAAAGAGATGTACCTTGTCCTCTGACCCTCTGGGCCACTATGAGATAGGAGCCTCTGCCATGTGTTCCTCCTACCATGGCACTCTGTCTAACCTCAAGTCCGGAGCAATAGATTCTGCCACCTGGAGTAAGCCCTCTGAAACCATGAGTGCAAACAAATCTTTAGTCCCTCAGTTTAAACTGTCACAGCAGTGAAAGGTCTATCAGTGTCCGACCTTAACCCCTGCTGTGTCCTTAGTGTTCGCTGGCACTTACAGCAGTCATGTCACAGACACTTCCCGGTTTGCTTGGCTCCCGAGGTCCATCCCCTTGCTCTACCACTGACCCGGTAACATTATTCAGGTGTGCCTTGATGGCTGAATTCTGCAGTGTCAGCTCAGCAATCCGCGCCATTATGTCCTTCCTTTGTAACAGTGCCTCATTTGTTCTACGCTGCTTCCCATCTCCAAGTACTGGGGGCTCTTCTGAGAAATTAGGAGTTCTTGACTGCTGAGGGGGAGGAAGGGAAGTGCAAGGGGGCTGCAACAGGTTAACAAACTGTGTCTGGGATTTGTTCTCCAGATCTTCTCCCATGTGAGAAACTCTCCACCTCTGAGTGAAGAGGCGGTTTTCCTCACTTGAGTTCTGAATGTCGGGTTCATCGGGCAAGGTCTTTTTTTCCCAGGTCTGTTCTTTCTCTATGACTTCCACAGTGGGAGGGATTCGGGGAGCAGGACGGGTCTGAACAGTTCTTCTCAATACTGCAGACAGAATTTTAAGACAGTCATGAGCATCCAATAAAATGGTACTATACCCAGCATATTACTCTGTCATGGGAGTCAGGGGAGTACTTCAATAGACAGGTTTGGCTTCTGAGTGCCTAAGTTATTTTCATAATGGAATGTACACAATCAAGTACAAATCTTTCATATTCCTGAGACTATCTATTAGCATTCATGTGAAAAATGTGTGTCTCAATACACTTTAACACATATAACTCCTCCTATCCAGGAATAGTAATGCATGACTGCATTCACAAATAAGGAGGAATAATCCTGAGTTTGAGGCCACCAAGGGCTACAGAATGAGGCACTAGAATTAAAAAAAAAAAAAAAAAATTGGAAATTGACTATAAGGAATAAAATTCCAATCTAAACAAATCATAACTCAAGCATACTTCCTTATTGTAGACATAATTAATAACTCCCCAGACACCTGAGAAAGAAATATTAAACTACATAATTAGAAAGCATTAAAGTAAAAAGTTCTCACATGCTAGAATAAGAAAGGTGGTATCCAGAAAAGGAATCTTAGCCCAACCCCCTCAACCCAGTACACCAGGGAGGGGGCAAGCTGCCAGCACTGACTCTCGGCCCAGCACTGTCTCCATCTTCATAGAACATATCTGACAACACCCTATTTGCCTTACAAACAGCAAAGTACAATTCTAGTAGCAAGAATTTGTCATTTTCTCCAACCTCTGGACCCTCTTCAGTTCCTTTATCAAAAACATGTCAAAGTACAGAAAGCTCTATGAAACTTTGAATCCCAATAATAAAAGTTAGGTTCTACTGCTCTGCAAGAAAATATTAGTAATGTTTAAAGAAATAAAAATCCATGCAAAATGGGGATGGGAAAATTATCTTCAAAAAAGGAGCTGGGAAGCTGTCTCCAGGTAAGAGTCACTTGCACACAGGCTGGAGTACCATTCTGTGACTCCACAGGAGATAACCAACTCCCCAAAGTTGTCCTTTGACCTCCACATACAAGCCACAGCATCCATATGCCTACACACCTTCTCTCTCTCACTCAACCAATAAAATTAACAAAAAATGTGGAGAGAGATAAAGGAACATAATGTCAATTGTTGGCCTCCACACAGGCACACATGGGTGAGTGAAACTCCCAACACACACATAAAATAAACAAAGAAAAATAATTAAAATATTTTTTTCAAGGACCACTGACACACAGCTCAGTGGATAAAAGCACTCACCACCTGAATTCCATGCCTACGCCCACATGGTGGAAGGCAAGAATCCACTACAAGTTTCCTCTGTGTGCCATGGTACATGTACGCGCGCGCGTGCGCACGCACACGCACACGCACACACACACACGCCAACAGCTGCATGCCTCTGGAGAATGTTATTTTTTTCAAGATCTTCCTCATTCTCTGTCTCTGAGATGTCATGAAATGAGCAGTTTTCCTCTGCCATGTCTTATTCTACCACTGCTCAAAAAAAAAAGCCAGATGACCATGGGCCACTGAATCCATGAATAAAAGTAAATTATCTAGTGATTTCACAATGATGGTGGGAGAAGGAAGAGGGATACAGATACACACGACATGGACGACATTACCCTAAAATTCACGTGTGTGGTGTGTGTGTGTGTGTGTGTGTGCATGCGTATGTGTACACAATACATTATATACACACACACACACACACACACACACACACACACACACACCATATGAGTAAAGGGAAAAGTCACTGCTCCCATGGAAATGTAGAAGAGCAATGCTTACCATCCTGTAGAGGAGAGAATTCTGAGTTGCTCTTCTGCCTGGGTGGTGTTAACATCACAGCTGGCTCGAAAATATGTGTTGGGAAATTATTGGCCAGATTCAAGTTCTCTGTAGAGGCTGGTCCCTGTGATAGTTTAACAGGCAACTCTTCCTGTGGAAATTCAATGGCTTCTTCCCCTCTGAACATCAATGGCATGGAGACATTACTGCTTACAACAGGGACCTCTGAGAACAGTAAGAGGACATTAATTTGAAAGAAACAAAAAGGAATCATGGGCACCTTTTAAGTATTTAGTCTATTTAAAAATCTTTTTTATCTACTTGTGTTTTATTTATGTGTATGTATGTGTGTGTCTATGCAAGTTCGAATGTACACCATATACTTTCAAAGGCTCAGAGGACAGGAGAGGGTTTCAGAACACTGGAACTGAAGTTACAGGCGGTTATGAGACACCACAGGGGTGCTGGGAACTGAACCTGTGTCTTCTGTGAGAGTAGAATTACTCTTAACTGCTAAGTCATCTCTCCAGCCCCCAGGTATTTATTCTTAAATGCATTTAAGTAGTATGAAAGGTCCCAGAGTCCTCAGTCTCTCAGCTATATCCTCATTTGCCAGTAATTCATCGGCAGGCTCTTGTTTTGTGTAGGAAGCCACAAAGCTATATAAAGAAAGCCTCTTACAGATCCCACCACCTACCCTCAGCCTTCCTAATGGTCATGACGAATAAGGCCAGAACAAAACTTTTTAATATACTAACTTCCATATACAAGGGGTGTTGCAAAACCAGGTAACCTGGTAAGTCATCATTAACAGTGTAGTATGTTCCATACTTTCTAATGGGGTTGTAAAGCTAAGACATAAGATGCAAAGCAGTTTTCACCTATATGGCCATTTCTGACTTTCCCACAGGCAATGATGAGAATTCACAAGAACCTTTAAGGTACCATAACCCCTGTATTGATGTTTAATAAGGATCAAGAGAAACAAATAGGCCAGACAGATGTTTATTCAGGGAGAAATAACTTACAACATAGACAGATGAACACCAGCAGGTTCCTGGTCCCAAGGATGCCTCCTGATGCTCTCTTGTCCCCGTGCTGCAAGCAAGAGAGCTCTCCGAGCCCCCTCCTCAGACTTAGTTCCCCAGGTAACATCTGGCCCTGTCTCCACCCCCCCATGGGCGTGGTCTATACCACAGGTGCAGACAAGGTGAATATCTCACTACACCCCTGGGTTTCTCATCCTTTGCTAACTACAGGTTTCTCAGTAGCAAAGCTTAACTCACCAACATTATATTAATGACATATTAATAGCAAAGCCCACCAAAGGACAGTGACTACATATAAGTTATATTTTAGTCGGCCACGTCTTCAAATCCATTAGCTCTAGCTTCTTTGCTTATTACTATTCTAAGGCCATTAGGTCATTAATGACAGTCTGGGAATAATAAGACTCCACCTACCTACATTATCCATAAGTCTTCTACCCATAGTTGTCCTTTCTGATGCTTGACTCTCTTGTCTGGAGTTATTTATTACAGGACAGTTCTTAATGGCATGTGTGAGTGATATAAGCTGCTCATCCGTAGTGACCATGTACTGCTGAAGTCTCGCCTAAAGAAAAGCACACATCACTGGCATAACAGACATCAAGCCATTATCTAAAGAGTAAGCCATACAGAGATATGTGTGTGTGTGTGAGAGAGAGAGAGACAGAGAGACAGAGAAAGAGAGAAAGATATCATTAATTTAAATACCCATTCTAAAACAAAGTTATTCATAATTATAAATACTCTAAAGCTATCATGATGATGAAATGATTACATCACAAACTACTAGTTACTAGATATTCTGCTATAAAATTACAACTAACCTTTTTTAATAGAGCTTTTAATTTACAAATCTTTTCATATAGATTATCTCTACTGACTGACTACAATAGAATGATACATTAGGCAGGGGAAACTCAATAGAGCATTCCACGGCATTTAGTGGATAAACTTAAAGACATAACATATAGATGATATTATAAACAAAAGAAAAGCACAGCATTTTATATGTAGTATTATTATAATTTTATATTTTATCTTTATATGTATAATAACTATTTTATGTATACTCATATTTGTCTATGCACATGCATATACCTATTAATATTATATAATTTTAAAATTTAAAATAAATAAACTATCACACCAATGATTTACTTTCTGCCATATAGCTGGACATGTTTAGAATTCCATTCTTACATTAAAGATCAACTTATTGCCCACAAGTCTAGATGGACTTGTTTTTTTTTTCCTTTGTCTTTTCCATACTGTAAATGTAAATAGGTCATATAAAATCAATAAATCTGATTAAAACCATAAAATGCAGGTATTTTGTAAATATTGGCATATGGTTGTTAGAAGCATAGAAAATGGCAGGTAAAAAGGAAAGAAAAAGAAGTTATATGAACTGTCAAGACCTTGTAACATAGACAAAGTAAGAGAAACCAAGGACAGCAGCTAGTGTCACATGTCAGAAATGCTTGGAAGCACACACAACTAATAAAAGTAGGTGTGGTCCAGACATCAGAAATATTATCAATAGTGTAGATGAATAAAGCACATGAGACAACTTTATATCACCAGCCATGTTCTTCCCAAATTTCACACTCATGTATTCAGTAATGTCTGAAGTACTCCCATCTAGGACTCTGTATATATGAAGCCAGCTCCTCTTAAAGCCGTCTACATCATAAGCAGCAGATTCATTTTTTAAATGCCTAAACCCAAACTGCTCAATTACTTTTGGCTTTTTTTCTCTCACATCCTCTCCTTCACCCCATTTCCCATGGGACTGGTTAACCTTCAAAATACACTCTGAATTTGCTCAACCTTCAGTTTCCCATTTCCACTCTAGACCAGGCTGCTATGCCCCATCTGGATCAATCTGACAGCTCTTAGATGCAATGCTCTGCTTTAATGGGCTGCTACCTTTCCTACTTCTGCCCTCAAATTGCAGTCTGAGACAACAGTGATTTTACAGGGGCACCAGAGGACAGCTTCAACTCTCAGGAGACACCAGTAAAGACATTCCTCTGCAGAATTAGTCTATGCAACTATTAAGAAGCAACAGTTCAGAGTTTGAAAATGGGATATCGTTATATTCTTTTTAGTAATATCAAATCTGCTTAGCCAAGCATGGCAGCACACACCAGCAATTCTAGCACACAAGAAGCTGAGACAGGAAGATCACAAGGTCAAGGCCACATCATACTACATAGTGAAGCCCACTCTCAAACGATAACAAGAAAGCCAACCAAATTCATCAAATCTGCTCATGGCTGGGTTTCTCGAAGCAGCTATGTTAAAATATAAGTACTTTGTAGAAATACACTGTGGAATAAGAAATAAGGACAATGATGTCCAATATAACTCTGAGCTTAGGATAGTTGTACACATCACATCCCACTGATAAATAATTGTAGCCTTTTACGAAAAAAAAAAAAAATAAATGCATGACTCTTATTACTAAGTGTTTTATTGTTTAAACAATCCTAACAGTTGTTAGAACCTGAGTCAAGAGACACAAAGTTACCCAATAAGGCAGCTGCACTCTCTGCTGAAGTCACACACAGCACAGTGAGATGAAGTCTTAGTCTTAGTGTGGTAATTAGCACAGCAGGGCACAGTGCATGTACAGTGGCCCAGGTGAACCTCCTAAGACTTAAGATGTATCAGGACTTCTCTTCAGTGGGTCCCCATTTCATTTACCTGTGTGAGGCACATAGCCAATCCTATCTCTGATTGCTCTCTCGTTCCACTTCTTCTACGCTGCATCTGTGGAGACTCTGAAGCCCCAATTACACTTATACCTCAAGATCTCTGCTCTTACTTTTTCTGCGTCTTACTGCTCTTCTAGCAATCTGCAAGTATTATTTACCCACAACAACAAAAAGACATTGAGAGCATTCCATGTTCTCAAGCAGCATATAGTTTGTAATGATGACTGACATATAAGTAACATAAGCAAGTAAATTCAATGATGCAATATCCAAATGCATCAAAAGTATTCAGAGGAAAACTGCTTAGGGGGCTAGGGACTCAGTCAGTAAAGTGCTTGCCACACAAACATAAGGACCTGAGTTCAAGTCCCTAGCACCAATGTATAATGCCAGGTATGGCAGCCCATGCTTACAACCCCAATGCTGGGGGCACAGAGGCAGGAAGATTCTTGGAGTTCACTGGCCAGAATCTAGCCAAACTGGTGATCTCTACCTTCCCTGACAAACCGGCCTCAAAAACTAAGATAAAGAGTCACTGAGGCTGACCCTGACATCAATCTGTCCTCCACACACATGAACACATATTGTCATATAACACATACACATGCTTAAAGAAGCATGCACACAGTTTCCTAGAAAAGATATTATAGGCCTTTTTTGTAGAGCAATTAGCTAAGCAGCAAATCAAGTATGAAGTCACTGAAAACAAACATGAGTAGCATCTGATGTCACTGTAGGAAGGCTTAAAGGCTAGGCTCCCCTCTGCTCTAAAATGACAACTGGCTATCAGAACACTCCTTCACACTTTGTATGAATGGACACAGTATTGGTAGCTATTTAAATGTAGACCTTGCTATCTCCACTCCATGGCATATTTCTTAGAAACTTATCCTATACATTATGTGCAGCTTGGGTTTCAAATAGAGGACCCTGGCATAACAAATGTCATTAACACCCACTGCTGCTGATGAGCCTGACAGGAAATGACAATAGTCAGCTAAGCCAGAGACAGCTCCAGGAGAAACATGCAAGCATATAGACATACTCCACTACTAAACATGAAGCCATTGGGAGAGCATGTGAATACCTGTGTGGTACTGTTCTCTAAGAACCCTATGTACATATAGACATGCCCCACTACTAAACATGCAGCCATTGGGAGAGCATATGAATACCTGCATGGTACTATGTTCTTCTCTGAGGAGAAGAATTTCAGCTGTCAGAGCATCGATGAGCTCTCGGTGATCACCTAACGACTGTTCCAGCTGCCGCCTTGTCTCTACTTCTTTCCTCAGTTGAATTTCACTCTACAAAACACAAAAACAAAAATAAATTCCCAAAAGTAGGACCACTTCCTGAAATCTTCATTTCTACAAAGACAGCAAAGATAATTACAGAAAAGCATGAACCATGACAATGATGACATTTAAAACTTTCATTAGAAGGCATATTTAATTAGTAAAAATGCACCTAATTTTGCCCTTGTCCCATCTTTAAAAAGATGTAACACTTTTTATAAATGGTATATAGAAAAAAAAAAACTACATTTTTTCATTTAGAAAGTGAAGGGCTGTGCATAAATACTGTTTGAATACACCGACCATCTCTAAAAAGACATTGTCTCTGGTCATAATCGTAGGCTACAAGGAAGCAAACAGGTTAGTTACAAGTAGGAATGAAAATTAGTGCTTCTGCATCTTTGGCTTTCATGATGTGTGATATAATGCCAATCAAAAGTTGATTGTTCAATATACCTTAAAACAAGTACAACCAACAATATTGCCTATTTCTACTATTAAATGTCATAGCTTTGGAAGTAAGTGAATAGCAAAAAGGCACGTTACTAAGCCTGAAATGCTTTCTAAGCACTCACATACTTTTCAGGACTACAGGCTTAAGAGAAAACGATGCTGAGAGGTGGGAGAATAACAGGAGTGGGGGGGGAGATAGAGAAGATTGGGGTGACAGTAATCAGAATGTACCACATACCATGTATTATGTGTATGGAACTGTCAAAGAACAAATCAAATAAAGATAAAAGGGGAAAAGAAATCCACTAACTACAATATCATTCACATCATAAAAGGTACATGAACAGTACTCTGATGGAAAGAATGAAATAATCCCAGAATAAGGATCTACTGAAAAGACCTTCACATGCCTGACAGTATAACAAAGCTTTCATTACAAGGCAATTTTAGAAAAACACATGAAGATGACACATAAATTACAACGATATATCTACTGCTTAAAGTAAAAGTTTCTTAATGTTTTTGTCATATTTGTTCAACAGGGTTAAGTTCATAGTAAATAAACTATATGTAGATTTTAAATGTGTACATATACATATGTATAAGGGTGTGAATGCATGCAAATGTCAAATGCCATTCTCAGAAATACAGTGTCTCTCACTGACCTAGAGTTCACCAATTAGGCTAGCTACACTGGCTGGTTATTGAAGTGAAGGATGGTAATCGTCACATCCCCAGTGCTGGAATACCATACCCAGGGTTTTCCTTACAAGGGCTTTGGGAATTAAACTCAAGTCCTCATGCTATCAAAGCAAACACTTTTGCAACTGCTATTATTACCCCAGTTCCTTAAGCAGATTTTATAGAAAATTAAATGTCCTATTAATTCTATACCACCTGAGGACCAATTATCATTTATAAACAAACAATTCTTTATTGTACAAATTACTTTCACAATAATAAGACATCTTCCATTTAGATAACTCTCATCTACAGAAATCATGAGCAGTTTTATGAAACTTATGTATTATAGGCAAAGCAACTCTCCGAAATGAGTTATGGGAGCAACCAGCTGAGGAAATCAACTCAATGAAGCTACAGTTAATAGTGCTATCTAAACCAAAATACCCTATTAGTAATACTTTATTTACACATCTTTCTTACTGATGACATTTTTCTAAAGCTTACAATAACATCAGAATTATGACAGAGGGGGACTACAAGCATAAATTCTACTGCAGATAAACTAAAACTGAGTAAAATAAAACTATTCAAATTTAACTTTAATTTGCAATAAACTAAGCAAGGAGAAAACAATCCACACATATTTACACTTGAAGAGAAGAGTCACATAACCTCGTATTATAACCTTGTATTCTTACCTCCTTAAGGTACCGAACCAGGCGGCAGAGAGAGCTCACCAGTGACAGAGTGAAGCCTGTGAGCCCCTGACCACCCTGCAGTCCCTTGACCTCACGGCCCGTCCACCGCTCATACTCCTCCATCTCATGTTCCACTTCATGGATCATGTGTTTGAGGACATCCAAGCTGGAGGTGTTGCTACTCGGTAAGTCTGCAGAGGTTGTGCTAGCGGATAACATGTTTTTCTTCTGCTTGGAAGGAGCGCGCATATCTGGTTTTTTTTTCACTGAGAACGACAAAAGTAATTCTACTTCAAAGCCAGGAAAACCACAAATACAAAATTACCAAGAAATCATTTAATTGTTCACCATTCAAAAAGTTAGAAGTTACCACAGTCTTTATAATTAAAAACCTAAAAAACTTACAGTGTTGGAACAAAGTTTACATTATCCTTTACAGAAAGGATTTCTTAGCTTTCCCTCAGCAAACTCATACTTAAATACATCCAAGCGGATGAGCACCAGGGGGAAAGTTCTACTTGGTGACTGATACAGCTCTAACAGGATGTGTGTTTAACAATTCATCTTTGTAAAGGGAGAAAATGCGGACCTTTATTTAACGGCTGCTTTTGCTTCCTTGAGTTGAGCACTTGTTTCACCACATAGCTGGAGTCCGCAGTCTCAGCAGACTCCTCGGGCTGAAGCCCAGCCTGGATTCTCTTGACAGCATCGGTCGCATTCAGAGCAGCTGAGAAAGAAGAACACAGCAGAAAGCATCTCAAGGGGAGACGTTTTCTCTAAAACACTCCCACGAACAGATTCATCAGGGTTTTAGTCAATGCATAAAGACTCCAAAAGTTAAGTAGCATTTGAAAATGATTGTGTTCAAAACGAACAAACAAAACCTAAAAAGCTTGCTACTGGAAATACTACAAAAGAGCAGCTCGCCTTTCTGTTCCTCTGCTGAGAACACCAAGGATGGAGTTCCTGGAGGGGTCCTCTGCGACTGGGTAGCTATTTTCTGCTGAATATCAGTCCACAATTGATTGATTAACTCAGAATTCTCTTCCTTTAGTTGGTGTAGAAACCTATAAATTGTGGGACAATTACAATTAATAGCTGCTATCATTTAAACTGTCCAACTGCTCATGTACTTGGTTTGAAAGAGTTTCCATCAATTCACAACTAAAGAAACAATTCTATTGAACGTTAGCTGACAAGACAATATTGTGATTGAACGAGAATGCACCCTATAGGCTTACACATTGAAACCCTTTGGTCCCAGCCAATGGTGCTGTTTGGGAAGGTTATGGAACCTTAGGAGAGGTGACCTTGTTGGAGGAAGTCTGGCCCTGGGGTGAAGCTTGGGGTGAAGCATTTATAGCTGGACCTCACCCCCTCCTCTCACTTTCTGCTTGCAGACTGCCCATGCAGTGGTACAGGCTGGCCTGCTGCTCCTGTCATCATGCCTTCCTGCTGTAAGGGACTGGATTTCCTCTGCAACTTTAAACCAGAATTCTTTCTTCCTTAGGCTGCTTTTGTCTGTGTATTTTACCCTAGCAGCAGAACAAAGCTGATACAGACAGGTAGAAGGTCAAAAGGCCCCTCATCTTAGGGACAAAATCAATCCACCTGCCTTCCAGTTTCTGTGTCCCACAGTCCCTTACACAGGAGTGTTTTTGCCTTTGTAGTTTTGTTATATAGTCTCACCCTTCCTTCTTTCTCTAAAGTAATTATGCATGTGTGCTTCTGTGCATGTGGTTTCTCTCCACTCCAAGAGCAGACAGTCTGCTCACACTGAAGTGAATGCTTCGGACCAGAGATGGGGCAGGAGTCAGAAGACAAGCTTAGGGCCTTGGTGAAAGCACTTTCATGACAGACCTCAGCCTCTTCCACAATCATTCTCAGAACTGACAAGGCTGACAGTTTATTTCTCATTTGAACTGAGACATATGAAGTGGGGAGATAGAAAACAGAACCAATTGTCTACCGGATAATGAATGAATGTGCAAAATGTGGTACAGCTACTCAATGGAGTACTATTCAGCCAGAAAAAGGGATAAAACATTGTTACTACAACATGAAAGACACCAGACACAAAAGGCAGCACACTGCATGAACTATATATGACATGTCTAAACAGGCAAATCTATAGAGCAAAAAAAATGTATTAGTGGCTATCCAGTGCTGAAAGGGCTAGGAGGAAATGTGTTTTCTTTCTGAAGTAATAAAAATAACCTAAAATTGATTGCAGTGATGACCAAATGACTGTTAATGTATTCTTTAAAATTACTGACTAATTATGTTATAAATGAACAGGCTGTTTATCTGTGAACTATAAATCAAACTGTTACGAAATTAAAGAGGAAGTAGATAATCTAATTAAACCATTCCATAAATCTCAATTTCCAGCAAACTCTATGCAGCACATTAGAACCCCATTTGCTAAAAGTGTATCTAAGCAAAAAGAGCCATGACAGTAGCCTACATATTAAACGAACTAATGGTAGAAATGGATGTTAGTAATTCCTCCCCTGAAGAGACAGGAAGAGCTGAGGGGCACTGTAGAGAAACCCCAAACTGACTTTGAGAATTCCCATAGTGTAAATAGAAAGTTGACAGAAACATAACTGTTGGTGGAGCTTCTAGAGTTCCGAAGGACACAAAGAACACGCTGCTACAAACTGGAGACAGGCCAGGCCAGTGTATAGGGTGGTAGAAATCTTAGTGTAACTGTATACAAAGCAGAACTTCTTAAGTGATCAATCAAGAAGTTTGCAGAGGAGATTGCAAAGTGCTACAAAGGATACAAGGAAGGAAAGAGAAAGCCTGAGGGCAGACTGTTAACCAAAAGGGCTTCAAGGTTAAGCTTCAGCTCAGTGGTAGAGTGCCAGCCTAGTGTGCTTGAGGCTCCGAATTCAATCCCTAGCACTGAAAAGATGAATAAGGAATTAGGACTTGAAATTAAGGGCTTCAAGGTTAAGCTTCAGCTCAGTGGTAGAGTGCCAGCCTAGTATGCTTGAGGCTCCAAATTCAATCCCTAGCACTGAAAAGATGAATAAGGAATTAGGACTTGAAATTTTGAGAAAAGCTTGGGCCTGCAGACCTCAAAAGATGTTCAAATTAGCAAAACTGCTGCTTAGAAAGCAAGCTCTGGAGAGGAAGGTACGTGTGCTGCCAAGTGTTGCCTGGTTCTGAAGGGCAAGATACAATGTCTAAATCAGCTCGGTGATCTCAGCAGAACCCAGGGTGAAAAGAGAGATTATCCAAGAAAGATCTATGAGGACCACTTGTCTATCAGGTAGAGCACAGCCACCTACAAGAGCTCCTAAGAATGTTTTAACAGCAGAAATATTGCCAGCTTGGACTGACAGGATGGAGTAAAGAATTGGTACCAGACTACTAAAATCCTACAGAGAGGAGTAAGCTGATAAATCCACCCATCTATAAACATGAGCTGTCTATTCTTCAGGCAAAAGGAGGAATGAGCTACAGATGTACATGTTAAATTCACAGGCACCAAGGCCAAGGGAAAAGTCTTAAAAACACTGGGCAGAGCTATGGAGCCGGAGGATGAAGACTAGGGCCAGAGATGATTATTTCCAGGCCTTGAAACCTAATGGAATTTGTCTGTCTGGATTCCAGTGTTGCTTATAACTACTGACTACATATGATAATTCTTCCTCTTTAAAACTGGAATGTCTACAACTCTTGTCCAGACATGTTCCGTTACTGTATTCTGAAGCAGGCCACATGTGTTCTAACTTCACAGAACTACACATGAAAAAGAATTCTGTGGTAGAGTGGATCATATCCAGAGTCTTCCCATATTTTATTTAATGACTTCTTCACTAGAACTGACAGAAAACAATGGGAGGTGCTCAACTATATCCACAAAATCCATACATACAATAGTGACATTACAAACAGAAAATTTAAATTCAAATGGTTGGACTAATGTAGAACACTCTCTGATAACACCAAGAAGAAGTCAGAATAAAGCTGCAACAACACACAGATGGAATTAAACATACAAGCATTTGGAGATACTGTAAGGATTCAGGCATTATGCGGGCCTGCCCCTGTCACCTGGCAGAAGGCACTCAGCCTAGGTGCAAAGGAACCCTTTAAAAGAAAGACCCCACCACTTACACTCTCTTTCCCCGATGTCTCCTTGGGGCAGACAGGACTTTTCCTGTCTCCCTCTTCTCTTCTGTTTTCTCTATGTCTCTGTGCCTTTTTACCTCTTTTCTCTTTCCTTCCCCCTCCCTACTCTTTCTAATAAAACTTCTCACTAAGCTCTGTCTGCCTGGCATGTCTGTCCCCTGCATATCTAGATCACAGCAGGACATGGTAGCTGTGCCTGCTGGTAATCCCAGCACTTGGGAAACTAAGACAAAAGGGTCACAGACTGGAGACCCAGCTAGGCTACAGGGTAAAACTGTGTCTCAGAAAACTAAGGGCTAGGGACAGCAATGGGGTACATCACCTGAATATACTCAAGTCCGAGTTCAAACTTTAAAACACTTCTAATAGCAAAAGTGTGTGTGTGTGTGTGTGTGTGTGTGTGTGTGTGTGTGTGTGTGTACGCACATATGTGCACACACATGCATATGTGTACACATGCTTTGGGTAAGAAATTCTAAAAATTTATTTATTTACGTACTTATTATTGGTTTTTGAAGACAGGGTTTCTTTGGTAGCCTTGACTGTCCTAGAACTAGCTCTGTCCTAGAACAGGCTGGCCTTGAAATCATAGAGATCCACTTGCCTCTACCTCCTGAATGATGGGATTAAAGGCATATGCTACCACACCTGGTCTAAAAATTAAATTTTTAAATGAATACCAGGAAAAATGATTTATTGAATGGAAGAAAGAAATTCTCTAAAGAAAATCTACCTGAGAAATAAAGATTAATACTATGTGTCAAAGGAGAATTTAATTTCATAAGGAGAACTGAGGAAGTTAAGGAAAGCAATACAAGAGTGGAAGTAAGATTAGATTAGGGAGATAACAAAGATAAAGGAAACAAACAAGAATAGGAAAGAAGTCAATCCTCCATGTCCACAACTAGTCACTGAACAGAGACACAGGACATCAAAAGAGCAGCTAGCACCCAACAACAGGGACAGGGAAAGACAAACCTACAACGTAAAGGGCCAACAGTTGGGTAAAGGGAAACTGACCTGGACCCTCAACTAGGGGACTGTAAGGAGTACGGGTTTTTCCGCCTGCTGCTGCTGGTCTTGTCCTGCTGCGACGCCAGCCCCAATTAACACACAGAGACTCTGTATTTGATACAATACTGTTGGCCCGGTTACTTGTTTCTTATCGGCTAGCTCTGCTTTAATTATTAACCCATTTCTGCTGATCTATGTATTTCTCTTACCGGGGAGCCGGTGGCATACTGCTTTCTCTAGACTCTCCATCTTGACTCCTCCTTCCTACTTCCTATTTCCTCCTTGTCTCCTAGTCCCTCCTATCTTCCTTTCCTATTGGCCAACAGTGCTTTATTATTAACCAGTATGAAAAACATATACAAAATGACATCTCCCATCAGGGGACACATCTTAGCAACACTAAAGTCTAAAAGCAGAAAAATAAATGTTGACGGTGACAATACACGAAATATCCTATAAAAGCAAGAAAATTACTATAACATCAGGTTTCGGAAAAGCAACACATAAGGCTAACCAAGAGTGAAGAACATTGCCAAAAAAAAAAAAAAAAAAAAAAAAAAAAAAAAGCCAGCAGTACTTGAAATACAGAAGCTATAGAAAAATGTCCAACTATTATGCAGAGAATGAGAGACCTTATAAACACTGAGACCCCTTCAGGGATCAGGAACCCTGTAAGAGAAGAGGTGGGAAGAATGTAGGAGTCAGGAGATGGAGGAAAGCAGGAAAATAAGGCCCTCTAAACACACATGAACAAAGTTCATATGAAGTCACAAGACTGAGGCAGCACGCACAGGGCCTGCGTGAGTCTGCACCAGGTCCTCTGCACATACAGTATGGCTTCGGGTTTGGTGTTTTTATGGGTGTATCTGAGTGTGGAAACAAACGGGTCTCTGATTCTTGCACATTCTCGTAGGCTCACTTCTTTCTGCTTGCTGTGTCAGCTTTTTAAAATCTTATTATATTTTATATAGTATATATCCATACTTAAATTCTATCATATGTAATAAAATATAGTATATTATAATTTTATTATTATATTTAGAAGCCTGTTTGTTTTCTAATGAGAGACAGAGAGTGGATCTGGTTGGGAGGAACAATTGGAAAGAACTGGGAGGAGGAGAGGGAGGAGAATCTATAATCAAGATGTATTCTATGAAGGAAAAAAAATCCCTTTTCAATAAAAGGGGGAAAAAGAAAAATGTCTAATGAATTCAAGAAACATTTTACTCACAGGCCACCAACAGCATGGGCTTCAACTAAGCAAGAGTCAATTACAAAACAATCAAGGCAACATGAAGGACTAGATGAACATTTAATGATTTCATGGCTGTAAGATTTTTAAAAATCATGAAATACAGGAAAGCCGTGTGTCGATGCTTTGTGTTCTGTCAATTCAAAACTAAGGGTGCAACTACAATAGGGTAGAAATGCAGAAGAGCTCAGTTGAATAGCCAATGTGCAAAGGAAAACCAAGAAAGCATACAGCTGACAGCAAAGATTAAGAGCATGTATAACAGCCCTATTAAAGGATTCATACACAAAGGTAACCATCACAACAGAACTACAAGATTCCTAAATACCAAAACTTTTTAAAGAACAGTGAATATATAGAAAAAGACAGTGTACAAACCTGCAATCCTAGCACACAGGAGGCTAAGGCGGAAGCTGATAGTTGAGGCCAGCCTGACTTTCACAGTGAGATCAAATCAACAACAGAAAGGAAAAACAATAACTACAGTGTAAGTACAGAACTACTAGTGGATATGGCAAATCTGACATTTAACACACCTACTGTATCAACCAGTATGACAGTCTTACTTCACCAATTAGAATTTCCAAATTGACTAAGAAGGCCATACTCACCCTCCACTGAATACAAGGAGCACGGTAATATAAAATAACTGCAAAAGGCTATATGTAGAAGACTATATGTAAAAAGCAAAGATAATGCAGACAATCGGAAACAAGAAATAGAGGTTTTATCCCCAATCTCAGACAAAACAGATTGAACCAAAGGCATTTACTATGACAAAGGAGATTATGATGCTAAAAGTCATTGATCAAAGTAAGATATATAGCATTTATTTATATACACATCCTATAAGTATAGCTTTCCTCTCCCACAAAAAAGGATGTATTAAACTTTGATTAAGTACATTAAAACAAGAAAGATGAAGAAAAACAGAAGCACACTAAAACTAGGAGTCTTTAATATATCACCCTTAGTATATAATATGGCAAAATTAACTAGAGACAGAAGAAATACAACATAGTCTGCAAGGGTAGGTGTTATGATGTTCACAAAGAACGTTATACCTTCCAATAGAATCACAGCCACTTCTCAAGCGCATACATGGAATACTCACGAAAATGTGATCATAGACAGCTCATAAAGAAAGCATCACCAAGTTCCACAAGGAGAAAGATGCCAGACTACAGGCTGAACACAGCATGATTAAACTAGAAATGGCAGGGAGGTTCCGAAGTTTTACTTTGTTTTGCCTTTAGCTATGTATGTATAGGCAAACTCAGTAAAAAGCAGAAAAATCAACTGAAATGATCTTGCTTCTTAAATAATCCATTTATTTTTGTCAACTGAAAAAAGATATACTACACTCCTAAGTCAAGAAGCAACAAAAGAAAGCGCAAAGGAAAAAAGGTAAGGGGGAAAATCTGGGGCAGGAGAAATAAAATTTTAGCTCAAGTTAATCAGCCAGGAGCCCAATTCTTTGAAAAATTAAGAAACTGGACTATTAACCAATGCAATCTTAAGAGAGGACAACCAAACAAAATGACAGGGAGGGTCCAGCGCACAAGCCCATACACACCCAAACAAGCATATTGTAATAAGATAAAGAACACAGCAGAGATGCCTACTACTTCAATACTGTTTTACACAGCCCTATAAGTAATTCACTGAAGAAAGGAGGTGTAAGACACAGGAAACAAGAACTGTCCTTTGCATGTGACATGATGCTAAACGCAGAAGCTGGAGAACTGCTTCTAGTACTCACTTAACTAAGATTCAGTGACATAGCTGGTCGCTGAGGTAAGAAGCAGAAATCAGAGCCTACAGAAACACGAATGATGACAGCTGGAAGAATTAGGGAAGGGAGCCTAGAGTGAAACTCATGAAAAGTGGTTACCTCCCTCCTGCAAGGCCCTCAATTCCCCCACCACACAGGAGAAAAACAAAACAAAACAAAACAAAAAAACAAAAACAAAAAAAACAAAAAAAAAAGATGTAGTGGAAGAAAAAAGTTCCACTTAAACAAAAAAAAAAAAAAAAAAGGATAAGCTGAGCAAAAAATAAGTAAACCCTACACCAAAAAAAAATGTTAAAACATTTCTCAAAAACAAACAAACAAAAACACTCATTAATGAAGGGAAACATAATGTCCTAACTCAAAATATCAATAAACTTTGTTTTATGATAAATAAGTTGATACTAATTTTCATATTAAAATTATTAAGAACACCTTAATTTGGTTTTTCAAGACAGGGCTTCCTTGTGTAGCCTTGGCTGTCCTAGAACTAGCTCTGTAGATCAGGCTGGCCTCAAGCTCACAGAGCCAGATGCCTCTGCCTCCTGAGTGCTAGGATTGAATGCATGAGACACCACCGCCCAGCAAGAACACCCTAAATTTAAGAAAAGCTGTAGGAAAGTCAGGCATAGTAGCACACACCTCTAATTCCAGCCTGGTCTACATATCAAGTTCTAGAACAGTCAGGGCTACATAAAGAGATCTTGTCTCAAAATAAACAAGTAAATAGAAAAACTATGGTGCTTATAAATGCTACGAGTTCTCTCTAAACAACTCTCTAGTACTAGAGAATGACTAGAGCAGCAAGTACAGAAATGTGCCCACACTAAGACAGACACTGAGTCTGTGGCAACGGGAGCTTCTCAAAGCAGTGGGATGAGAAGGAGGTCCTTCTAATAGTTTAAGGACTATCAGAAAGCCATTAAAAAGACAGATAGTGTGTACCTCATCCCATGTACAAAAACTAAACTGTAACCCGAGAAGACCGAGTCTCAAACATAACCACACACCCCTAGGAAAAAATAAGAGAAGCACTCTGTAGTCTGGGATCGGGAAGGAATTTCAGAGTACAATTCTTCATAAAGTAGAATTCCACAATTTTAAAGCAAAATTACACAGCATTTACATTTTAAACCTCAAGTTCCAATTTTCACAATTTTTCCTAAATATGAACCTCAAATAATATAAAAATACATATCGTAAGATTTTTATTTAGTGTTTTTGTTACAACAAAATGCTGGAAATACAAATGGCCATGTATCCAGGAGAGTGGCCAGTCAACTCTGACATTCACTCAATTTTCAGCCCAACAGCTGCTTCACTGTTCTGTAAAAACAAAGCAAGTGATCCCTAAGAAGGCTAGGGGGTGATTTCAGGTCATGTCAGGTGATAAATTCAAGTACAGAATGCTATTTTTTATATATGAAACAAGAGGACAAGAGATATATTTCTATACATTTATTTGTATTTACAGAAAGGGGTACAAGAGGAATAAAGAGCTTTTTGCACTCCTACAACAACTTATAAAAAAAGAACAGTCTAGTGGTGGTAGCGAATGTCTTTAATCCCAGTACCTAGGAAACAGAGGCAGGCAGATCTCTGAGAGTTCGAGGTCCGCCTAGTCTACAAAGTGAGTTCCAAGACAGTCAGGACTACAGAGAGACCCTGTGTCAAAAAATGAACAACAATACAAATACATCCTGGCACACTTGGAGTGACTTCATGGCATGTGTCGCTTCTTCTGCAATGGTCAAATGTACACACACATACCTCTCTGTGGTCCTGTTAGACTGTGAGCTGAGGGAGTTAGGCAGCTCACTCTCGCTGTCATCTGACTGGCTGTGAACAGTGCTCTCTTCTTCATCATCCACTTCATTAAGAGCCTGTCTCAACAATAACACCAGAGCACAACTTGATTACTGCTCACTCAGCCTCTCTTTTTATCATAACAAACTTCTCCTAAGGCTAACCCCTTCACATGTGTGCTAAACACTGAAACATCTCAACGCTTCCTCTAGTGTCCTTCTAATACCTCTAGAGCTCCCTTCAGCTCTCAGAACTTAAGTGTGAAAAACTTTCCCTTCTTACACACACACACACACACAATCACATACGCAATTACACACTCATCCTTCAACTTCTGTTCTTTTCTTTATCTAGCTGACCTTTCCCAATTTCCCAATTTCCTTTGTCAATTTTCTTTTTCTACCATCTCTGTATAGCTGACAGGACAATGGCTGACAGTTAAGCACTTAAATGTTTACAGTTACAGCCTTTATCAAGTTGAACCTCACTTCAGCACGGGCACGTGATTGTGAGTGCAGTGTATTACCTGAGGCTCTATGAGAGATTCATTAAGGGTGGACTGGGTGCCAGGATCTTGATTTATTCCAATGGGACTCTGAGAGGAATCTGGAGCCATTGTTACATTTGGAAACCCTGCAGAAGGAACCCCAGTCATTATGGTTTCTCTCATCTGCTTCAACAGTTTTCACAAGTTCTCCACTGCCACAGGCTCCCTTCACTTTAGGAAATCTCAAAGAGCAGCTCCTCCTACACATATGTATATGTACCAAACATATCTAAATTCATTTTTACCTTCACAGATCCCGTGAGATACAGTCTGTTATTTTACAAATCAGTAAACTGAAACTTGGAGAAATTAAGTAACTAGCCAAGAGTTACTATAGTAAATGGCTGACCTGGAATTCAAATGTTCTGCTAAAAATAAATCACATGCTTCTGAAAGATTAAACAAGTTATATACAGATTATGATTAATAATGTTGGAGCGGAAATGGTGGTGTATGCCTATAATGTCAGCACTCAGGAATTAAGAGGCAGGAAGTTCAGGAGCGCAAGGCCAGTCTTGGCTACATGGACCCTGGGGGGTGGGGAGGGGGGTGGGGAGGGGAGGGATAATCATAGGTAACTAAAGATCAGCAAAGTTTCCTTTAGCAAGAAACTAAAGTTGCTTTAGATTTTAAGTTAAGCTTATTCAAACTATATGTAAACATACATATATATATTAATTATGTGACAATTTAATACTGAAAATTAAGCCACGTTTTATAGGTACAAAACACTGTACTTCACACCAGATATTTGTAGATAATTCCCTTAGATGAATAATTTGTAACACTTCACATTCCTAGTAAAGAGAAAACGAATTGTGACTCTTAGCCCCAATAATCTTCCTGTCTTAGCCAGCTAGAGTTCTTCCAATCACTTACAAGCTCAATTTAAGAAAGGAGAGCAAAGCCAGGCAGTGGTGATATTTTAATCCCAGCACTTAGGAGACAGAAGCAGGTGGATCTCTATGAGTTCAAGGCCAGCCTGGTCTACAGAGCAAATTCTAGGACAGCCAGAACTGTTTACAGAGAAACCCTGTCTCGAAAAAACAAAACGAACAAAAACAAACAAAGAGGTTTTGTGCAGATTGAATGCGTACCTGTGCGCTTACGAGGAACATCAACAAACAGACCTTTGGTGGCAGCCATCAGATGATCGGACTTCTCCAGCGCATCCTGTGTCTGGTACTGATCAGAAAGAATCTACACACACATTAAGGGGGAAAAAGTACTGTTCAGAGAAGAATATACGTAGTTTTTAAAATCACTAAGGAAAAGGACTAAGGGAAGGCACCAAACACGACATTCTAAAGGCTTAAATATCAACCTGCATTGGTTGTGGTTGCTGGCTTTGCTTTTAGCCATGGGCCATGACCATCCTATAACCCGCCAATGGCAATATTAGATGACAGTAGATGAGCAATCACAGTAATCTATAGCTTCGAAGAAAATATATTACATTGTGATCTGGAACACATAGAGCATACACATATATATGCACACACACACACACACACACACACACACTCACGTTTTTAGCTTTCTTTTTACTCTTTGCATCTTTCACATCATACATCTTGATCCCTTTCATTTCCCCATCCCTTCATATCTGCCCTTGCAATCCCCCCTAATAAAATGAAATTTAAGAAAAAAGGTGGGGAGGAAATTTCATCATGGAAGCTGTAGTGTGACACAGTGATTCACACCATAAACCCCTTTGTCCATATATCTTTACTTGCGAGGGTTCACTAAAAAGAGTCATTGGTCTGGCTGGAGCCCTCTGGTTACTGCTACCCTGTCCATGCTGGGCCCTCACAGGAACTCCCCTCAGATATCCTGTTGTTGTCCCATGTCATGGAGGTCCTGCAGCTTTGGGTCTGCAGGACCGGTCCCTTCACATGCTCCAGCAGATCATAAATGGGGTGGATGTTGGGGTGGGCCAACTCATAACCCTGGTTCTGGGCCTGGGTAGCTGCAGGGCTGGTCAGCCCGCCAGTTCTCCCCACCCTCACCACCAGGGTGAGCTCTCCAGCATTGCCCTGGCTAGTTCACAGCTTGCAGCAATGAACAAGGGGCAGGGCCAGTTCTCAGGGTCGGCTCTCCCATACCTGGACCTCAGGGCCACAGGCAGTGAAAGGAAGGGGGGGCCTGATCACCCACACTCCTGTCAGCTCTGCTCTGCTGCCCAGATAAGGTGCAGGGCCCACTTTCCCGAGTGTAAGGGGGAGGGTTAGTGCCCCGGTCTGTCACAGGCAGCAAGGGCAAGGGGTAAGGGGGGACATCTCCCCCACGCCCACACTACTGCATCACAGATGATTAGTAGGGACAGCTCTCACAACTTTGGGGCTGGCTCACCCACACCTCCGCCAACTGGACCAGCTCTACTTGGTGGCCCAGAAGAGGAGTGAAGGCCTGCTCTCCAGAAACACACACACTTTCTAAAGTAAGACTTTTACAATAGGATCTCCACATGAGAATGACTTTCTAGGTTTTATTCCATTCTAGTTTTAAGTGTTGGCTATGCCCACTTACATTATATCATACCTCATTAGTAAATAATGATATAGATTAAAAGCACAAATTAAAGGCAAGAGTCTCTGAGCCATACACTCAAAGGTGTTTCCACCACTGAAGTTTTCTGATAATCCACTAACAGGTCGTGCATGGTCTGTGACTTAAAAAATAAGGTATAGGTTTTAGGATTAAACAAAAACATGTTACACTTTGGTATTTATAAACAAGTTAGGCTTTTACCATGGAGAGATGGTTACACAAAAGCACCACTACACTTGGGCCTCTAATTGTGCACTTTCCATTGAAGGACTTTAACATACATACAAAGATATAGGCCAAAGATGAGTCAATTCTATCTACCACCACCAGATGGCATTCTTAAGCCATAAAGGATGTTAAAATCAACTCCATTTCTAACACTGACTCAAGTCAATACAGCATCTAATAACAAACACTCTGCCTAGAATTTCACTATAACACAGACATACTGATGTCAATTACTACTTTAAGAAACAAAGAGAAAAGTGAATCACACTCTTGTGTTATCCTTTGTGCTATGGCCAAGTGGGTCAGCTAGGTTCATTACTGAAACTACGTCCTGAATTGGCTCCTCCCAGAGCAAACTTTAGAACTGCACAAGGCCAAGAGCACACATGGTGCAGGACACTGGGTTCTAGGTCCACACCAGAAATAGTAAACAAACCCCAATCTCTTTAAACTTAGTTTTCTATTGTGTCAATGGTGCACAGCATGGATTTTACTTAAGATCTGATTACAATTAACACTGGGCATCAATGCAGATATTTCTAGTTGTGAGCCTAGCCTTTAATGGCTGGGCCAGCTCTCCAGCCCCAATGTGGTTATTAATAAGATCATTCTGTGTAGTTTATCTAGCATGGTGACAACCATACTGTTATGCCTATGGTCCTAATATATATATATATATATATATATATATATATATATATATATATATCCCTTAAATACAGACACCATAAACACACACACACACACACACACACACACACACACACACACACACACAAACTTAGTAACTGAAACCAAAGATGCCAATACTCTTTGACTCTTTCTTTTCTTTTTTACCCCTAGTATTTGTGGTTAAACTGAAACATCCTAAGAAGTGCTCTAATACTGAGCTAAAGCTCAGCCCTTGACTTAGCACTTCTGTCAATAATTCATCAACAAACAAACCTATACCCAGAAACATGCTCAATATTCACTGAATTATTTATAGTGACAAGATAAGAACCAATCTGTGGGTGGCACACACTGCTACTTATCCCCAGTATTGCCCTTTAATAGCACAACTCCTAAATTTCAGCAATGGAGGCACCTAATTTCCCAACCCTCTTTGAACATGGGAATGGCCACGAAATAATATTCTGAGGAACAAGACATAACGCCAAAATCTCTGGCTGTCATAAAAGCAATAGCAGACGCCATCTCCACTAGCTGTTTACTTACATACAACTGAAGGATGCCATCCTGTACTAAGTCATGTGCTGAAGAAATGTAGGGCCCTCTACCAGCTACCTCTGAGCTCTTCCACAAGAGAACAAAATCTGTGTTTTGTTTAAATTACTGTATATTGAGTCATTTTCTTCCCAGAAGCTTAATCTGCACTCTAACATACAACATCAGTGTCCACAAATAAAACAATCAATAAATAAATAATGGCAAATCTATATGCAGCCTAGACTTTAAAAAAAAAAACGTATATTTGTTTCTACATATTGACTCCTAAGATACACTGGCATGTCAATAAAGATCTAAGCACCTCCTGGACCCTACAGGGGTGGCAGAAAGGTGATATACACTGAAAACCTGTACATGCTAGCCGTGCTTGGAATGCTATTACAATACAAATCACATTATTTTATGAACCACATTTCTATCTTTAGTGAAATGCCTTCCAAGCCCATGCAATTAAGAGCTTGTGGATTATATCTTACATTGGATATAATATATAATGGGATCAGCATTAGCTATGGCCACAGCAGGAGCTGACAAAGACAGAAAACGAAGGGATAATCTTACTAATCATGTTGATACAGGGTATTAATTACAATCAGATCTCACGGAAAGCCACTGCTTTGCGCTCTTCTGTTAGGTCTCTGTTACATTTCTTAGAGCAGGTTATGCATGCGGTCAAAGATCACTGTACTAGCCTTACTATCCGTTACTAAAAGGAAACATGGCTCTGAAGCCCTGCAGTCCAGGAAAGCACCCTGGGAAACTGAGGAAACTGTCCACACACTAGCTTCACACCAGCCTCCTTGGGAGCGAGCGTGGCAGCCACAAAGAATCGTCGTGTGCAGGGAGGACTGAGAATCATGGCACTGCAGGGGGAGGAAGCAGCATCCCTGACCCTCTACCTGCCCTCTCACTGCTCCCCTCCCTACTTCTACTATGACAAGCTGGACGGCTCAGTGGGTATCTCGGGTTGAGAGTGCTCGTGGCCCTTGCTGGGGAGCCAGGCTGGAGTCCCTGCACTCACATGGTGACTCACAACTCTGTGACTCGGTTCTGGGGGCAGCCGACACCCTCTTCTCTCGTCCACTGGCACCAAACACACAAGCAGACATGCAGGCAAACACTCATAGACAAAGGGACTAAAATAAATCTTCAAAAAAAAAATAAAATTGTAAAGAGGAAATTAAAGCTAGAGAAAGAAAACCAAAGCCTCGAGTCTGACCCCTCCCAAAGAGGTCGTCTGGTTTTCTAGGCCAGGGCTGTGGACTGGGGCCTTTCAGTGAGAACTGGCATGTACCAAATGTGAAAGGCTGGTCCAAGTTCACAAGATGCATTCCCCAAACCCACTGTTCCTTTTTCAAGTCATGGAAACATTATCTGGGAGAAACTGTTCTTCCTAATGCACAGGATTTCTGTGAGACAGTGGTTCTCAACCCTCCTAACACCACAGTCCTTTAATGCAGCTGTGCTCATCCTGCTGCGGTGACCATAAAATTATTTCATTGCTACTTCATAATTGTAACTTTGCTACTGCTATGAATCGCAATGTAAATATCTGTGTTTTCTGACAGTCTTAGGTGACCCCTGTGAAAGGGTTGTTTGACCCAAAGGGGTCACGACCCACAGATTGAGAACCACTGCTCTAAGAACCCAAGGAATTTCTCAAAAGGCAGCCTGTACTTAAAGCCACCATGAAAGGTCGCGCCGAGAGCACACACTGTAAGCTAAGCATGGTCAAGAATCACACACACAGCACATTCCTTCACTGTGACCTCAGCTCACATAAAAAGCTTCCTTCTGACTTCCCAGCCTATCCACCCTACAAATCTGATTACTTCTTCAAACACTCGGGCAGGCAAAAGGTTAAGCCAGAGGTGAATGGCTGATGACCTAGATCAACAGGCACACAAAACTGTTTGATATTATTTCTTTCTGTTGAATTGAGACATAATTACAGCAGTTTATAGTTATAGAGCACTGTTTGCCAAAGACTGCGGTGATCTCTTTAAAAACATTATGCCTGGGCTAGGTGGCTCAGTGGCTAAGAACACTGATGCTCTTCCAGAGGACCTGGGTTCAATTCCCAGCTCCTACATGGTAGTTCACAACTGTCTGTGACCCCACTTGTAGGGAATCTGACACCTTCTTCTGGCCTCCACAGGCACCAGGCATGCACATGGTGCACAGACATACATGAAGGCAAAACATGATACATGTAAATTTTTTTCTAAAAAATTTAAGTATTATGCCATTAAAATCTCATAACACAGCCAAGATTTCGGGGAGGTGTTTTTGTTGATGTTGTTGTTTTGAGACAGGTTTGTCTGTGTAACTGCCAGTCCTAGAACTCACTCTATAGCCTTGAACTCACAGAGATCCACCTGACCAAGTGCTGAGATTAAAGGTATGTGCCACCATTGCCCGGCAACACAGCTAAGAATTTTAAAGATTTAAAAAAGAAAAAATAAAATCAAGCTAATGTAAGAAAAATGAAGCTACAAAATTTGTAAGAAAACAAATGATTAGAACTAAAAGTATTATATTAATTAAGTTAGGCAACCCAGACCCAAATAGATGAGATCTGCATGTCCTCTCTTATGTGTGGGTTCTAGCTTTTAACTGCTATGCATGTATATTTACATGGGAGTAAGTGTGTATGGAGGTCAGAAAACTTTCTTACAGGACCATGAAACTGGAAAAGAAAAAGGTGAATCCATGTGATATGAAAATGAAATGGGGACGCTGGAGGCAGAAGAATCAGTGGGGAGGGCAGAAGGAAGGGTGGGGAGAAGAGGGGATGGAGTGGGAGTCAACCATCCGGAACTAAGTATTATGAGAATGGCAGAAGGAACATGATACTTTGTAAGCTACATTTTGAAAGGGAGAAAGAGAAAAGGGGGAAAAAACTCAAGGAGTTATATGATCTAAGGCTATAGAGCTAATGAGTTGTGGAAACATTTAAAGCAGCAAACTAGTCTCCACCCATCTTGCTGCGCTAGACTCCGCCCATCTGGCTACTCTGTACTGTAAACTCCGCCCATCCTGCTGCTCTCTGCACTAGACCCCGCCCATCAGGCTGCTCTCCACAGTAGACTCTACCCATCTTGCTACTGCTCTCTACACTAGACTCCGCCCACCCTGTTGCTTTCTGTACTATAGATTCTACTCAATAATCCTGCTGCTCTCTGGAAAGCCATGCAGCTCACTGTTAAGGTTATAGGAGGTACTAGAGTCTCTCCAATGAAGTCAACCCGAGGAAAAGAGAACTGGAAAACAATTTCACACACTACCTCCCTCATGATAGATAATCTTCTTTTTTCAAGACTTGAAGTTTCTGGTCTCTGCTTCTTCCATTTTCTCTTCAAAGCTTTTTCTTGAAGCTCCCAGTGCACCAATGCTCTATTCTTTGACTTGTGTATCTCATGACGGCGCACCTATACAGAAGAAAATCCTATAAAGAAATGTCTTCAGTAGCAAAGAAGTTGCCTGCTCCTATGTAAGGCCACTTATACTAGTTGACCACTTCTTATTCCTTTCTGGTTCAACGTGTGTGTGTGTGTGTGTGTGTGTGTGTGTGTGTGTGTGTGTGTGTGTGTGTGTACATTCATAGCTAAAACTTTCATAGTTTTCTATGTTTTCAAAAATGATCTAAAAGAGAAGCATCTAGAACTTGGGAGGTCTAGCCTAAAGCCACAAAAAATAGTAACTTTTACTACAGACTACCAAAACCCTAGTGTTCTTCAATTCACAGGTTAAAACTCATACAGTGAGTGCTAAAATAGCAACTAGTAGTCAGCACTGACACTTTACCGATGATGTAAAGGGTCTTTGGCAAAGCACACCCCTTTCATGATAACTGCATAACTTCCAAGTCAATGATGCACTGTTTGTATAGCTCTGCAGTAGCTTAATGTGGAAGCGAGGTCACAGATGATGTGGGTATCTAGGGAAGGAGAACTCCTGAGGCAGAGGAGATAGGAGCCAGAGCTCCTAAAGAGTGGGAAAGGAAGAGTCCACTGGGGTGACAAGGAATATAAGTAGACATTTGCCTTTACAAGGGCTCTAGTGCTCAAACTTGTAAGTACAAACAAAACTGGGTCATCTAATGAAGTTTTAATCATGCAAACTACCAAAAAGACTAGCAATCAAGAATTGTGAACATGCAAATCAGACTCACAATGAGGCAGTACTTTATACCCACTGGGAGAATTAACATTTTTAAAGGTTACAACAATGATGTCTATAAACTGGAAGCTCCACACATTCTGGTGGAGTTGAAATCATGAAAGCACTTTGGAAAACAATTTGGCAGTTAACCATGAAGTCCAATATGAAGACACAAGACCTAGATATTCTGTTCCAGATATACACAACTGCCTGCTTATGCATATGTTCACACAGAGAATTGTACGTGAATATCAACAATGGTATTACTCATAATAGACAAGAAGTATACACCAGATGTAAAACTAACAGATAAATCCAGAATCCCCATTCAATGGAGCATTATTTCACAACAGAAAGGAATGAAGTAAAGATAAATACTATAATATGAATAAATCTTCAAAATATACCAGAAAAAGAGCTACACTACACATAAGAGACCACATACTGCATTCCACCTGTAAGAAAAGTCAAGGCTAGACACATCTACAGAGACAGAAGGTAGATTAGTCATCACCATGCACAGGCTAGCCAGGGCTACACAACACAGACCTGTCTTTAAAATAACAATAATAACATTAATAAAAAATGCTGAAGATATTACTAGACAGGAAAGACAAACAGAGGTCTATATTGTAGGTCAATTCTAGATAAGTGATAAGACTGTAAAAGTCTAATAGTGGCTAATAAGCCTCAATAAAATCAGAAATCTCTTAAGTTATACTTTTAAGTGATCTACAGATGTGAACAGATTAAATAACGCTAAACAATTTCCAAAAGGGACAATGGCCTTTGTTCTAAAGATAGAAACCAGACACCAACTAAAACATAGTCCAGAACTTAACTTTCAGGTTTAAACTTACTAGATCTTCAGGAGTTGCCCGGTGCACTGTTAGATCATTCACAGTATTCTTTAAAAAGAAAATAATAAAGAAGAAGAAATGAGCTTTTAAAATATTAATAGTTGCAAAGTCCTAAGACCAAAAATCCTTTTTTTAGGAACCAATATTGTAAATATAATGTTAAGACAGATTACTTCTAAATGTCTTCTAGCAAATAGCCTACTTTAAGTGTTATACAGGAAATAAAGCACTCTATTAATTTAAAACAGGGAATAAATATTCAAAATGAGTAAACTTAACTGAAGCTATAGTTCCCACATACAATGAGGCAATCGTAAAGTTTTTTAACAAAGAAAGTGTGGTCACTACAGCAAGCTGCAGAAGAAACCTTTTTTGAGAATATAGTTTCTATCTCACTAAAACTCTAATCCTTGGAAGGAACTAGAAGTTATTGCCCTTAGTATATGTTCTCTTGGGGGGTGGGGAGATGGCAATATCCTGCTCTTTCTTCCAAGGACCAGAAACATGCCTAGAGACCCACGCTACCCTGTTACAGCTCAGCTCCATCTCATCACATGACAAGAGTCATACGCCCATTCCCCAGAACATGTTATTTACTACCCAAGACTTACATCCCATTCTTGCCTTGCTGTGGCTTTCTTCTTTACTTTTAGAGTTTTTCTTCCACCTCCCCGGGGACCAAAGCGATTCACTCTGACCAATGACATCTAGGAATAGTAACATTTTTTTTTTTTAATACAAGGCAAAGAAATAATAATACATCATGGGGGAAGGGGACATCTAGGACAAACAAAATCATTCTCAAAATATCCAAAGAAATTTAACCCCGATGAAAGGAATAGGCTATACTTGGTTTAACTTTTTGCTTAATAAAGAACTTTAGAAATATAGAAATTATGACCTAAAATAGAAAACTAAAATGGCTATATCTGTCATCAGATACAAAAGTCACAATTAAGAGAAAAAATGCCAGTAACTGGGTAACATGAGGAAGGAAAGTACAGTTCTAACCATGCTAACACTCATCCCTACCAGGCCCACATGTGCTCACCCCCCACCCCCAGAACCTAAGGTCTGACTCCAGCTCTAATAAATCTTCACACAGCACTGAATGGAGGCAATGTGTAATTACCAGTGTTAGCCCAACAATCAAAATTGCCATGTGGGACTAAACATTATGAAAAGCTAGAGAAAGACTATAAGTCTTTCTCTATAGTCTTTCTCTATGCATGATTTCTATTTCACAACTGTGGCAATGCAATATGAAAATCTCTCACATTCTAAGAGACTGGATCTCTCAGTCAAAGTGAAAGCCACTTAACCTGCTATTTTAGGATATACTTGCCCTGTTTGATTAATCTATCTTTAAGAGAACAATGGAACAATGAACCTTACTTGCCTTGGATTTCCCATGTAATCAACTTTTGCAACCTAAGCTAATGGTATAGCTATAATCTTAAACAATGTACTTTTTTTCTATGCCCCTGGTCCAGAACAATGCATGTGTACCCTTTGCCGAAAGGAACAAATACGAAGGTTAAAAGCAACCTTCTAAAATGAGTATTTACTTATGGATACTGGTTAATAGACAATGGTGTTTTTAATAGTTTGAGCCTGGGTCAGTTAGGCTCATTTGTAGCCAGTGATGTAATTCCATATATGTATGTGTGTGTGTACATAAATACATACATATTTAAAGATTGCTATAAAGTATCCCATTCTTTCCCCCATGTGATGCTTTCTGTGCTGTTCAGTAAATACAGAGCAAAGACAGACACAAGTGAGTATACAAGACACACACAAAAACACAATCTCTCACACACACCGACATGTAGACACAGACACAGACTTACAAAACAGCCTTCAGGCAGGCACAAATTCAGACTCATACAACAGACTGGACAGAAGACACAGAAGCATGAAGTAGAGAATTAAATTTGGATTCGCTCTTGGTTAAATGATCCCAAGGGGAAATGCTTTTCTTTCCTTAACATGATCATGCATTACTGGTAACTCAAAGTCAATCACCAATACATATAATCCATACAACCTACCAAATTAATTACAGAACTTTTGGGCTTATCCTCATATTTCCAACCAGTCTTCAGAGTTTATCCCCCTTCTACCCTCGCTCCTCCACACAGAGATTAAACACAGGGCATTCCACATGCTAGGCAAGTGTTCACCCTTAAGATACATACTGCCTTCCCCTTTCATTAAGCACTCTTAATAAAATAATCTACTGTAATAAAGACACCTAAACTCCAGTGTTTTCTGTAAATCTCCCTTGCTCTCTAACATTGTCTTTCTCTTATGACATTTTACTCTTTAACCATGCTGTCTAATTTCAGAGCTAACAATCCAGCAAAGGAAGAAAGTCACAAATGTTTAGAAAATGACAAGTAATTTTGTCTTTTCCGGTGGTGCTGAGCTAAGATTGATGCCAGGTGTAACACATGTGTGGGATGCCAGTGCCAGTTCCCACACACTGAGTTCCATCCTCAGTCCAACAATTAAGACTTGTTTTCCCATGACTAGGCCCTTTTTATTTACCTATTTTTACTTTGTTTTATTAGCATATATATATGTATATATATATATATTTGTAACACTTACATGCATATGTAATATGTTACATATGCATTTGATTCTATCTAATATCTAATCTGTATTTGATTCTATCACTTCCCCATTACCCTCTTTTCTCCCCCTCCATTTGGTCCCATCCCTCTTTACATCTCCATTTAACATAATGTCTAGTTTTATTTCCCTGCACATATGATTTGATCCCAATCTCTTTATTGCTGAGTAACACTCCCTTGCATATATCTTTACCCAGTTATCTGTTGGTGTGTATCTAGGCTGAATCTATAACCTGACTACTGAGAACAGTGTCATAAGAAACATGGGTGTACAGGTACACAGTGGTGCCCTTCGTTTCCTCTGGTATATACCCAGGAGTGGTACAACTGGATCGCATGTGGCTCTTCCTATGTTTTAGTTTGGAAGAACTTTCATACTGGTTGTACTAATTACATTCCCAACAACAACACATAGGCCCTCCTCTCCAGTTCCCAATAGCCACACTAATAATTGCTCCTGTTTTCTTGATGACAACAGCCATTCTGGTGAGACAGAATCTCAATGTAGCTTTGATTTCCTTTCACTGATGGCTGAAAATGTTGAACAATTTTATAAAAGTGGTGTGTGTGTGTGTGTGTGTGTGTGTGTGTGTGTGTATGCGCATGTGTGTTTGCCACACGTGGGTGCCCACAGAGGTCAGAAGAAGGTGTCAGAATTCCCAAAACTGGAGTTATGGGTGTCCATGAACCATCCCACATGGGTGCTGGCAACGAAACTGAGTCCTCTAGAACTGTACACACTCTTAACAACTGAGCCATCTCTCCAGCTCCTGAACATTTTTCTTATGTATTAGTTGGCAATTTGTACTTGTTTTGAAAACTGCCTGTTCAGTTCATTTGACCAATGATTAGTGTCTTCTTCTGGTGTTTAGTTTTTTAAAGATCTATATTCTGGGTATCACTCCCCTGTCAAATAACTGAAATACACTAGGGAAATAGACTTCTACCTATATTGTAGGCTGTTTCTTCACTCTCTGTGTTCCAACTGTGCAGATTTTTAATAGGGCATAACATCATTCGTCAATTCTTTTATTGCATTATGTACTGATCTCTGGAGAAGAGGAAGGCGCACATGCCACAGTACAAGGAGGAGGGCCAGAGAACAACTTGCAGGAGTTGGTTTCCTCCTTCCACCATATGGGATAAACTCGGGTGTTAGGTTTGGCTCTAACTCGCTGAGCCATCTCATCAGTCCACATTTATCAACAGTCTTATCCAGAAAGCCTTTGCCTGTGCCTGTTATCTTGTTTCCCTGGTTTCCTCTAGGAGGATCCTGTCATTCATTACAGTCCCTGATGAATTTTGAATTGAAGTTTTACAAACTGAAAAAGGAATATGGTTTCAGTCTTCTATCTATGGACACAATCTTTTCAGTACCATATGTCATCAACAATTAAGTTTTATGATGGTGACGGCAATAAAAGCTGTAGTAGAGGCAATAAGAGCATCAGCTAAGACAGGCTAAGTGCTTGCTCTGTGCTAGCTACCACTCTAAGCTCTCTGCACATCTTAGTTTCTTTCATACAGGAGGCTCAGCCTGGCAGCGGTGATGCACACCTTTAGTCCCAGCACTAAGGAGGCAGAGGCAGGCGGATCTCTGTGAATTTAAGCCCAGTCTGGTCTACAGAGCTAGTTCCAGGACAGCCCTGAGTTACCCAAAGAAACCCTGTCTCCAAACAACAACAAAATAATAAAACAAATAAACAAAACAAAAACAAGAACTCCATGAAAGGATTAATTGTTTGATTCATTTTATAGATGAGAAAACTAAGAGGCAAAGAATTAACCAACTGTGACGTTCAATTTTAGTAGACATAAACAGCACTTAACAAGTCGTGGAACAGGTGGGTTTCTCAAAGGCCCATAACTAAACAACTTGCTAAAAAGAGAAAAAAACGTAAGCCTGGGAAGTCGATTCTTTAAGTCAAGGATAATCTGCAATACAAATGAAGCTACCTCCTCTCCTTCAATTCCCTCCACAAAGTTGGGGCTAAAGGTTAAGCATGAATAAAAGAGTGCTAAGAACATGTCTTGTGCAAGGGGGAGACAAAGTTTATAAAACTCCTGTTCAGTTTGAATAGCAATGCCTTGAAAGGGTGACAGACTCGAGTAAAGTGTGGGGGAAAAGCTGAGGGCCACAGTAATTTGAGCACCATACTAAAGACCACAAGAAACAGGCTTGGGGCGGGTAAGGAGGCGGATTCTACCAGAATTTATCTTACCTAGTATGAAAACAAGCTGGAGGGCAACAAGAACACTGTCCCCGCCATCAACCTTACCCAGCTACAGATACAGACCTCATGTGCCTTTCTCCTAAGATTTTAATGGAGCCCACTGTAGAGAAGAAGCCAACCTTACAGTTTTCCCTCCCACACGGAGACGAAGCTCCGACCTTCTCATGCAATGCCAATCGGGCACGGTTTGCAACAACTTCATACTTTTGACTCCCAACCCCAAACCTGCCCAAAACTCCCAAGCGGCCCCTCCTCGGAGACCGTGTCCTAACCGCTCAACTTCAAGGACACGCCCCGTCCCAACACTCCCCCCCATTGACAATCAACACCTGGAACTCCGCACAGCCTCGGGGTATCTACCTCAATCAGGGCGACCGAACGCACCGCGCATGCGCAGGGGCGCCCGGCAGAGGGAGCGCCTGGTAGAACCCGGAAACGCGCTCCGGCGCTGCGAGGAGAGCAGCGGCGCGGCCCTGAATGGAGGGGCCGCCCGCCCGGATGCCGGACGCTTCTCCCCGCCTTCTGCGCGGACCTCATGCCTGCCCCCCGCCCCTTCACCCAACCTGCCTTGCCGCTGGCCGACTGCCGCTTCCACCCCGACTACAAAACTTCAGCCTTCAGAACCGCAGAGCCCGCCACAGGGGGACGCGGAAAGTGGCTTCCGGGATGTTGCCAGGGTTACAGAGCCCCGCCCCCACGCCTTTGCGTATATCCGGCGAGCCCCTCCGACCAGTCCCAGTCCCAGAACCTGTCCGTGTGGACAGCTAGGACCGGGGTTCTCTTGTCCTGTTTCCATTTGGAGAGCGGTCTGCGGGCCTCGAGAAGTCTCCG